TTTTTGTTATCCTCATAAAGTTACTCTTTCCTGTATTCACCTTTAATTTTCTTCTTTTGCACACTCTACCAAATTCATCCACCAATCTCTGCAACTTCTCTTCAGAATCTCCCAAGAGCACAGTGTCATCAGCAAAAAGCAACTGTGGCAACTCCCACTTTGTGTGATTCTTTATCTTTTAACTCCACGCCTCTTGCCAAGACCCTCGCATTTACTTCTCTTACAACCCCCTCTATAAATATATTAAACAACCACAGTGACATCACACATCCTTGTCTAAGGCCTACTTTTACTGGGAAATAATATCCCTCTTTCCTACACACTCTAACTTGAGCCTCACTATCCTCGTAAAAACTCTTCACTGCTTTCAGGAACCTACCTCCTACACCATACACCTGCAACATCTGCCACATTGCCCCCTATCCACCCTGTCATACGCCTTTTGCAAATCCATAAATGCCACAAAGACCTCTTTAGCCTTATCTAAATACTGTTCACTTATATGTTTCACTGTAAACACCTGGTCCACACACCCCCTACCTTTCCTAAAGCCTCCTTGTTCATCTGCTATCCTATTCTCCATCTTACTCTTAATTCTTTCAATAATAACTCTACCATACACTTTACCAGGTATACTCAACAGACTTATCCCCCTATAATTTTTGCACTCTCTTTTGTCCCCTTTGCCTTTATACAAAAGAACTATGCATGCTCTCTGCCAATCCCCAGGTACCTTACCCTCTTCCATACATTTATTAAATAATTGCACCAACCACTCCAAAACTATATCCCCACCTGCTTTTAACATTTCTATCTTTATCCCATCAATCCCAGCTGCCTTACCCCCTTTCATTTTACCTACTGCCTCACGAACTTCCCCCACACTCACAACTGGCTCTTCCTCACTCCTACAAGATGTTATTCCTCCTTGCCCTATACACGAAATCACAGCTTCCCTATCTTCATCATCATTTAACAATTCCTCAAAATGTTCCCTCCATCTTCCCAATACCTCTAACTCTCCATTTAATAACTCTCCTCTCCTATTTTTAACTGACAAATCCATTTGTTCTCTAGGCTTCCTTAACTTGTTAATCTCACTCCAAAACTTTTTATTATTTTCAACAAAATTTGTTGATAACATCTCACCCACTCTATTTGCTCTTTTTACATTGCTTCATCACTCTCTTAACCTCTCTTTTTCTCCATATACTCTTCCCTCCTTGCATCACTTCTACTTTGTAAAAACTTCTCATATGCTAACTTTTTCTCCCTTACTACTCTCTTTACATCATCATTCCACCAATCGCTCCTCTTCCCTCCCGCACCCACTTTCCTGTAACCACAAACTTCTGCTGAACACTCTAACACTACATTTTTAAACCTACCCCATACCTCTTCGACCCCATTGCCTATGCTCTCATTAGCCCATCTATCCTCCAATAGCTGTTTATATCTTAGCCTAACTGTCTCCTCTTTTAGTTTATAAGCCTTCACCTCTCTCTTCCCTGATGCTTCTATTCTCCTTGTATCCCATCTACCTTTTACTCTCAGTGTAGCTACAACTAGAAAGTGATCTGATATATCTGTGGCCCCTCTATAAACATGTACATCCTGAAGTCTACTCAACAGTCTTTTATCTACCAATACATAATCCAGCAAACTACTGTCATTTTGCCCTACATCATATCTTGTATACTTATTTATCCTCTTTTTCTTAAAATATGTATTACCTATAACTAAACCCCTTTCTATACAAAGTTCAATCAAAGGGCTCCCATTATCATTTACACCTGGCACCCCAAACTTACCTACCACACCCTCTCTAAAAGTTTCTCCTACTTTAGCATTCAGGTCCCCTACCACAATTACTCTCTCACTTGGTTCAAAGGCTCCTATACATTCACTTAACATCTCCCAAAATCTCTCTCTCTCCTGCATTCCTCTCTTCTCCAGGTGCATACACGCTTAATGTGACCCACTTTTTGCATCCAACCTTTACTTTAATTCACATAATTCTTGTATTTACACATTCATATTCTCTTTTCTCCTTCCATAACTGATCCTTCAACATTACTGCTACCCCTTCCTTTGCTCTAACTCTCTCAGATACTCCAGATTTAATCCCATTTATTTCCCCCCACCGAAACTCCCCTACCCCCTTCAGCTTTGTTTTGCTTAGGGCCAGGACATCCAACTTCTTTTCATTCATAACATCAGCAATCATCTGTTTCTTGTCATCCTCACTACATCCACGCACATTCAAGCATCCCAGTTTTATAAAGTTTTTCTTCTTCTCTTTTTTTAGTAAATGTCTACAGAAGGGGTTACTAGCCCATTGCTCCCGGCATTTTAGTTGCCTCATACGACACGCATGGCTTACGGAGGAAAGATTCTTTTCCACTTCCCCATGGACAATAGAAGAAATAAAGAAGAACAAGAGCTATTTAGAAAAAGGAGAAAAACCTAGATGTATGTATATATATATGCATGTGTGTGTCTGTGAAGTGTGACCAAGGTGTAAGTAGGAGTAGCAAGATATCCCTGTTATCTAGCATGTTTATGAGACAGAAAAAGAAACCAGCAATCCTACCATCATGCAAAACAGTTACAGGTTTCTGTTTCACAGTCATCTGGCAGGATGGTAGTACTTCCCTGGGTGGTTGCTGTCTACCAACCTACTACTATGTGCAGGTTATTTGTGTATTGTTCCAGTCACAGTATTGTGCCTTTTGTTATTTTTTTTCTCATTATGCACTGTGTGCTGCAGGATTTTTTTTATACCACGCACACTGCCCACATAGAGCCATTCTTTCATATAAAGACCTACCAGCTTTCTCTCATTAGATTTGAGGGCACTAGAAGTTTAGGCATACTAGTACGTCAAAAACCCTGGTGCATAAGCCGTACTAGTACGGCCAAAACCCTGAAAGGGTTAAAGCATGAAATCATAGATAAACAAGCAAGGTGTGCAGGTTTTGGTTGAGGGGGAAGCAGGGGAAGCTCGCTCGTAACTCGGATGTTGGCTCATAACTCGGCAAAAAATCAACCGAGCGATGGCTCGTATCTCGAAAAACTCATATGCTGGGACACTCGTAAGTTGAGGTTCCACTGTGTACAAAACATGCTTTCATAAATCCTTCTCTGAAATTTTTCCTTAATAGCTACAACAGAATACAGGGTAAACTGAAAGTCTGGACACAGGAAATATTGCTAATAGTATTCTGTTTTTTTTTTCTTCTGCAGATTGAGTATGAGTTTGTTAAAATTTGTCCTGTGTCCAGACTTTTGGGTCACCTTGTACACAGGCATAACATAAGACACAAAACCCTCTTTGACACCCCTGTAGCCGACTCAACCTGTGCAAAAACTTAATGCCCACGAATTCCCTAAGATCCAGAATTCATTGCTTGAAGCATTGAAAGGTGTAGGAGAAGTAGGATGTTGGAAAAAATCGTGTTTTGATGTTAGTGGATGTTTACATAAGTAATGTTTATACATAAAGTATATTATTTCATATATATTTTATTATATGAGAAAACCATACACCGTGCGGGATTGAACCCGCGTTCAAAGTCTTAACTTTCCATCCCGTTCGACCCAGTAGACAGTTATCCACAAAGATTTCCTCTGGTATATTTTACACCATATGAAAGTTTCACAGTACGTGACCAAAAATGCAAGTTTTATAAAAGACAATCTCCATGTTCGTGGCTTTTTAGAGAACCTCAAGTCCAGTAAATGTCGAGGAACTCTTGATAAAAGAAAGTAAACAGGAGTGATAGTGACTTGAACTAGAGTTCGTGATCAACATTACTTTAAGAATCGTGAAAAAACTGACCATTTGTTTAAGATGTTCCCTTGTAAGTTTTTAGTGAGAAATATGCTATTGCAGAACAGATAGTGGCTAGCTGAATATGACTGCTGGAACGGCTGGAGTTTTGATGCTTGTATTGCTAGGGTCAATTCCGTCAAAGGATGGTTATTTGCAATCGTGTCATTACGATTTCTTAAGTCTTATTAGTATACGTATTTATTTTATTTTTGAGAAAAGACCGAGACACCAGTGTATCTGGGCACGTTAATTTCATTATCTTTTATCTCACATGTTGACTCCATGTTAGACAGTGTTATCAGTCAAGGGTTTCTCTGGCTTTATTGCATTATGTGTTTCATACGTGGAGGAAAGAATCATTTTCAAAATAAAACAATATACATTGTTCTGTGTCTTTGTTAGGAGAACTCATGAGTAGAGTGAAAAGTGTTAGAGGAACTCTTGAGTAGAGTAAGGAGTGTCAAAAGAGGTTTTAGTGAACATAACGTTCATTCGTGATATAAATATTCTTTATATAAACATGAAACACACACACACTCTACATTGATTTAAGTTTTCCTCTTCAGTTAGGTGTTTACCTGAGAGAAGGTACTTGCATTGCACAGAACAGATCAGTCTTCACTAGAATATTGACTGCCTGATAAAATATTCCCTATTTTAATGTCATTGTGATTGTCTTTATCGTCATTTCAGATTTAAACATTAGTGTTCAAGCACATATACATTGAGTGAAGAAAATTATTCAAGAGTAAAGTTTTCTTCATTCAATATAAATGTGAAGAATGACAAAATAATAGTCTTGGAGTTGTTACAATATAACAGAACAGACACGTTGTGGGACCGTCGTACAGAGCACAGACATGTTGTGGGACCATCTTACAGAACACAGACATGTGGGACCGTCATACAGAACACAGACATTTTGTGGGATTGTCTTCATTTTTACTAAGTAATTTTTCATATCTTTAACAACTTGTAGGTAATATACACCAGGTTTTTACTACAAAAACATGGTCAGTGGTGCAGGAGTATATGCAGTAGTAACTGTCTGTTGTATGTGTACATAGTGCCAAGGTTTAAATCTGCTCGTACACCTCCTTCCTCCTCCTCCTCCTAGTATCAAAAGCACTGTAAACTTCATCGTGACACATTAGCTGGCACTAACCTCAAATACAGTAGAACTGCGGATGAGTTCCACCCACAACGTCACAAACCCATCTTCTTCACGAGGTTTCCATAACATATAATTGTACACTATTCAAATCAGGTTCCTTAATAGTGTTCTTTCACAAATAAAATAATCATCACTAGTATCACTATTGTGAAAATGTTGCTGGCGGGGAGAGAGAGAGAGCTTGTGGAAGGAGTGTGTAAGGCAACAGTTGGCGAGGGACTGTAGTTAAGTCTTGACTGGTAGTGGGTAGTGATCGCCCCTTCTTATCAATCTTTATCTTCCATCTGGTATTGGTCTTGTGTCAGCGGTAAGAGTCGATGTAGAGGTAGCCTCTGTAGATAATGCCAGTTCTTCAGGCAGTTTCTGCTGTGTATAATAAAAGTTTAGAAACACACTGCAGTCAGTGCTATAGATATCATAGGAAGGCTTACACTATTAGTGTAGTGGATAGTACAGTAAATGTTTTCACTGTTAGTGGTGGATGGTACAGTGAAGACCTACACTGTTAGTGTAGTAGGTGGTACAGTGAACGTCTGCACAGTTAGTGGTGGATGGTACAGTGAAGACCTACACTGTTAGTGTAGTGGATGGAACAGTGAATCATTACTTACTATCAGAGAAAGATAAGATAACCCTTAACACATTCCTTTATCAGGCCAAAGCAGCATAATAGATACTGACGTTACAGCTGATAATGTACTTGTTAATCGCTCTAAAATGAGATTAAGCAGTTTCTTTGATTAAAAAAAAAAACAGGAATCCATATGATCGAAAGTAGCAGATACGTGAAGATTTTAGTTTACTTGACAATGTAATATGCTGATTATATGTGATGCACAAGATCAAACATCAAGAAGTACTCTCAAAAAGACTTGTATGGAAATAATTCAGTGGCACTGGAGGTATGCTCAAGGCATATTCCTATAAGGAAGAGGAGGAGAAGATGTAAACTATAAAGAGAAAGGTGCTTCCTGTACAGGCAAAGGTAGAGAATAACAGAGCAGCTAAAAGAGGCCAATGTAACTGTAATATGTAGGAAACACTGGTCAGAGAAATATCAAACATTGAACTAAACCTAAAGGAATCTTACAGGAGTCAAAAAATGCGGGAAGAACTAAAAGCCATAAATGAAATTGAAAGAAACCCAAAATATTTCTTTTCCTGTGCCAAATCAAGGTCGAGAACAACATTCAGTATTGGACCCCTACTGAAACGAGATGGGTCCTATGCAGATGACAGCAAGGAAATGAGTGAGCTACTCAAGTCCCAATATGACTGTTTTTAGTGAGCCTCTAACCAGACTTTGAGTCGAAGACCTAAATGAATTTTTTATGAGACAGGTTCGAGTCTACCAAATTCTATCTGATATTATGATGTCAAATAACTTCGAAAAGGTGGTAAATGACATGCCCATGTACTCTGCCCCAGGCCCAGACTCGTGGAATTCTGTGTTCATCAAGAACTGCAAGAAGCCCCTGTCATGTGCTTTTAACACCCTATAGCGAGGGAGCATGGACACAGGGGTCACCCCACAGCTGCTAAAAACAACAGATATAGCCCCATGCCACACAATGGGCAATAAAGCAATAGCAGTGAACTACAGACCAATAGCATTAATGCCCCATATCATAAAAATCTTTGAAAGGGTTCCAAGAAGCAAGATAGCCACCCATCTAGATACCCATTAGTTACACAAACCAGGGCAACATGGGTTTAGAGCAGGTCGCTCTTGTCTGTCCCAACTACTGGACCACTATGACAAGGTCCTGGATGCTCTAGAAGACAAACAAAATGCAGATATAGTATACACTGGCTTTGCAAAAGCCATTGACAAGTATAACCATGGCGTAATAGCACACAAAATGCATGATAAAGGAATAAGAGGAAAAGTTGGTAGATGGAGCTATAATTTCCTAACAAATAGAACACAAAGAGTACGTAGTAGTAAACAGAGTAAAGTGTGAGGCAGCTTTGGTAAAAAGCTCTGTTCCACAAGTCATAGTACTCGCTCCCATCCTGTTCCCCATCCTCATATCTGACATAGACAGGGATGTAAGCCACAGCACCGTGTCTTCTTTTGCAGATGACACCTGAATTTGAATGACAGTGTCCTCCATTGAAGACACCGCAAGACTCCAGGCAGACATCAACAAATCTTTAAATGGACCACAGAAAACAATACGAAGTTCAATGATGAGAAATTTCAATTACTTTGATATGTCAAAAAAACATCTGTATAAAATGATAATAAGACCTATACTCGAATACCCATGTGTCCCAATGTCATTAACAACAAAGACCAACATGCTACGATTGCAACGGGTCCAGAAAAGAGCTCTTCGCTTCATTACGGGCACCAGGAGGAGAGACAGAGTTAAAATGGCAGATTTACATGTACAACAAGATATTACTGCCTTAAATGTATGCCTTGACACCCTGAAGAAGAAACAACTCTATGCAATGCAAGAACTCTACATGCCAAATAGAGAACATCCTCTCCAAGTTGAAAATACCACGGATTATATCATCAATACTCCTCCTCACAGGACTCGAAGAATGACTCTCCCACAGAGGGTCCGTCGTTTTATCCATAAAAACGATTACCATCAACCAATGATATTGAGCAACCTCCCTGCAGATGAAGGTGATTGGGTAACACCAGAACCCTTCTATGTTTACTAAGAAAATCATCGCCCCCAATTAGGGAGACATCATGTATAACATTCTACTGTTAAAATTATGCTACATTTACTATGGTGGGACACCACCTTGTAAGAAGCTATTGTGTCAAGTAAATTCTTTATAAACTGGCCAGAAAATTATTGCCTTCATTATCGTTTAAATATCCGTTGTGCAATCACAAAAAAAAAAAATGCAACTTGTATATTTACTACCAATTCAGAGTCATGTACTTATATATCTGTTACATCTGTGTGACTGATGGGTTAGTATTATACCCCTTCAAGAATATTTTATTCCACATACACTTTTTAAATTACACCAAAGTGGTTGGGCCACTTCCCTTTTATATCCTACCTCTCTCCCCCTTCCCACCCTTTTCCAATATTTCTATCCTTACCCATTCTTCTTCCTTACCCATCTTACCAAAGCTCTGGCCATAAGAAGAAGAAATTCCAACCACACAATAGAGTGAAAAGCTAATGTACAAGATCTGGGAGTGATCATGTCAGAGGATCTCACCTTCAAGGACCATAACATTGTATCAATCGCATCTGCTAGAAAAATGACAGGATGGATAATGAGAACCTTCAAAACTAGGGAGGCCAAGCCCATGATGACACTCTTCAGGTCGCTTGTTCTATCTAGGCTGGAATATTGCTGCACACTAACAGCACCTTTCAAGGCAGGTGAAATTGCTGACCTAGAAAATGTAGAGAGAGCCTTCACAGCGTGCATAACGGAGATAAAACACCTCAATTACTGGGAACACTTTAAGTTCCTCAACCTGTACTCACTAGAATGCAAGCTGGAGAGATATGTGATTATGTACACTTGGAAAATCCTAGAGGGATTAGTACCAAACATGCACACGAGAATCACTCCCTATGAAAGCAAAAGACTCGGCAGACGATGCAACATCTCCCCAGTGAAAAGCAGAGGTACCACTACCACTACCACCATAAGAGACAACACAATAAGTGTCAGGGGCCCAAGACTGTTCAAATGCCTCCCAGCATACATAAGGGGGATTACCAGTAGGCCCCTGGCTATCTTCAAGAAGACACTGGGCAGGCACCTGAAGTCATGACCTGACCAGCCAGGCTGTGGTTCATACATGAGGTTGTGTGCAGCCAGCAGTAACAGCCTGGTTGATCAGGCCTTGATCCACCATGAGGCATGGTCACAGACCAGGCTGTGGGGGTGTTGACCCCCAAAACCCCTCCAGGTATACTCCATGTAGTTATTTAGGTACAGGTACACATAAGTACAATTATTATACATAGTAACGTGTGTGTAAAGTACTTAGAATAACTCCCAAAAAAAGCCAGGGACTTATTTCTGCAGGGGTCCTTGACTTATTTCTGCAGGGGTCCATGACTTCTGCAGGGGTCCATGACTTATTTCTGCAGGGGTCCTTGACTTATTTCTGCAGGGGTCCTTGACTTATTTCTGCAGGGGTCCATGACTTATTTCTGCAGGGGTCCTTGACTTATTTCTGCAGGGGTCCTTGACTTATTTCTGCAGGGGTCCTTGACTTATTTCTACAGGGGTCCTTGACTTATTTCTACAGGGGTCCTTGACTTATTTCTGCAGGGATCCTTGACTTGCTAAAACATCAGAATATTTTCACAAGACGTTCTGTTGTTCTTCAGACTGTTTTTTACTTGTATGGTTCTCGTATTTCTAAACATGATACGGTCAAAGTTCTCGGATTTTCTGTTTGAATACTGAATGTCCTGAAAGCCTCCCAGAAAGATGGGTATCATAGCCTAATACACACACAAAGTGTGACTTTGTCAATGGTCCAAGTCGGACCGAAACGTCGTCGTAAGCTTCTCTCTTTTATGTTCGGGTTATTTGTGTATCGTTCCAGTCACGGTATTGTGCCTTTTTGTTATTTATCATAGCCTAAACCTTCTTAAAATTCCAGCCCACCTTTCTTGGGGCTGGTAAATCTTCCTTACCTGGAGTTTACCTGGAGAGAGTTCCAGGGGTCAATGCCCCCGCAGCCTGGTCTGTGACCAGGCCTCCTGGTGGATCAGAGCCTGATCAACCAGGCTGTTACTGCTGGCTGCACGCAATTCAACGTACGAGCCACAGCCCGGCTGGTCAGGTACCGACTTTAGGTATTTGTCCAGTGCCTGCTTGAAGACTGCCAGGGGTCTATTGGTAATCCCCCTTATGTATGCTGGGAGGCAGTTGAACAGTCTCGGGCCCTTGACACTTATTGTATTGTCTCTTAACGTGCTAGTGACACCCCTGCTTTTCATTGGGGGGATGTTGCATCGTCTGCCAAGTCTTTTGCTTTCGTTGCTAGTGATTTTCGTGTGCAAGTTCAGTACTAGTCCCTCTAGGATTTTCCAGGTGTATATAATCATGTATCTCTCCTGCCTGCATTCCAGGGAGTACAGGTTCAGGAACTTCAAGAGCTCCCAGTAATTGAGGTGTTTTATCTCCGTTATGCGCGTATGCTGTGAAGGTTCTCTGTACATTTTCTAGGTCAGCAATTTCACCTGTCTTGAAAGGTGCTGTTAGTGTGCAGCAGTATTCCAGCCTAGATAGAACAATCGACCTGAAGAGTGTCATCATGGGCTTGGCATCCCTAGTTTTGAAGGTTCTCATTATCCATCCTGTCATTTTTCTAGCAGCTGCGATTGATACAATGTTATGGTCCTTGAAGGTGAGATCCTTCGACATGATCACTCCCAGGTCTTTGACGTTGGTTTTTTCGCTCTATTTTGTGGCTGGATTTTGTTTTGTACTCTGAAGTTTTAATTTCCTCGTGTTTACCATATCGGAGTAATTGAAATTTCTCATCGTTGAACTTCATATGGTTTTCTGCAGCCCATTGAAAGATTTGGTTGATGTCTGCCTGGAGCCTTGCAGTGTCTGCAATGGAAGACACTGTCAGGCAGATTCGGGTGTCATCTGCAAAGGAAGACACGGTGCTGTGGCTGACATCCTTGTCTATGTCAGGTATGAGGATGAGAAACAAGATGGGAGCGAGTACTGTGCCTTGTGGAACAGAGCTTTTCACCGTAGCTGCTTCAGACTTTACTCTGTTGACTACTACTATTTGTGTTCTGTTTGTGAGGAAATTATAGATCCATCTACCAACTTTTCCTGTTATTCCTTTAGCACGCATTTTGTGCGCTATTATGCCATGGTCACACTTGTCAAAGGCTTTTGCAAAGTCTGTATATATTACATCTGCATTCTTTTTGTCTTCTAGTGAATCTAGGACCTTGTCGTAGGGAACCAATAGTTGATGAATGTAGATGAATGGTTCAGAGAACCGACACATTGATGAACCATTCATCTGCAGTCCTGTCAGACACTGCAACTTCTTGAGATTTTAATACTTGGAAATTCTTCGCTTGCCTAACCCTTGGGCACGACCTACTTCCACACTGAATAAATGTGACACCACCCACGTCTGCTGCACCTCTCCTGCCTACGGTATATAAGCTACTTCTCGACACATATGATGTCTTCTATTCAAGATTGATGGACTGACCACATCAACTCATGATTACCTTGTTCTTCTCCTGTTCTTCACGATTCTCCTTTGTATGGACTGATGAAGCCACTGTGTGGCAAAACGTTTCCTCAATAAAGATACCCAAGAGTTGCACATGACTAATGTATCAAATCTTCCTTCACCTTCATTATGTCCATGTCTTATCTAAACTAGACTACAGTCATCAGCTATAATCTTCAGCCTCACACATTACTTTTCCTAAACTTGGTCCCGTTCTTCATCACGGGTTATGGTTGTGTCTCAGACTTATCATTCTTCCCCAGCTAAGAGGCTCTATGCAGAGCCTCTCATTTAGTGATGGTGTTGATAATGAGGGAGGACGTCAGCAAAATACATAACTTACTACAATTGCCAAAGACACTGCTTATGGGTAACTCTCAGCCAGTTTGTTGGAAAGGACACTTGTGTACAGTTCAGGACATTCATTAAAAGCAACGTTTCGCCATGAGTGGCTTCTTCAGTCCTAATGAAGAAGCCACTTGTGGCGAAACGTCTTTTTATGTAATAAATGTTCTAAACTGCACACAAGTGTCCTTTTCCGCAGTTTGTCGGTATCGCCACAACATTTACAACCATCAGCCAGTTGGTCTCATGCATAGTTCATTAACTCTGTATATTATTTTGTGTGTATAGGTTGAACCTGTGGAGTGGGCCTATGAGAACTTTGGAGAAACAGCCACCAAAGGGCAGCTGTCCTCCATGGCTGATTACCTTGCCAGGAAGGTAAGTTTCCTCACTATTCACTTGATTCTTAATTATTCATATGAACGTGTTATTTAGGAACATAATTTAACGTTTAAATATCTTTTGAAGGCTTTAGTGATGTTACGTTGTTAAGCTGTATATTTGTTTAGATAAGGGTGTGTTATGTACCTAACGGAAGTTATACTGATATTAATGTTAGTGATATTTGTTGAGATGATAATGGTATAAAGATAATATATATACTTTACAAAGTTCTCCTACTCTACACTAAAGCCCCATACTACCCCACGGTGCCTACTGGTGAGTCAAGTAAAATTAAAGCTTGAAGCTTGCAAATAATGTGGTCATACACTGACCAACACCATCATGGTGCCCTAGTGACATAAACAGTCACGTTTTACCTCCTAGACTTATCATTTGTGGTAATGTTAAAGTGAAGGAACAGATCACAATGTTACCAATGTAACTCAGTGTGGCTGCCAGTCCTCTTGAATTTTCACATGTGATCTTGATACCATTAAGATGTTTTGGCCTGTGTTCATGTGCATGTTAAGCCGTTTTCTTCTTGGGTTCACGTTCACTGCATTCCACGTGGTGTTCTGGTGATTATATAAATATTAATGGGCACTGAGAGATGCCACATACTTTTTCTGTGATGGAGAAGACCCGTCATCTTGCTTCTCTTATTCCTGCTCATTTAGACTGGCTAAATATTTTTTTCTAGTGTATTTTATACTTATACAATGAACGGAAATTAAGTATTTTAGTTCATGTTTTGCTGAATACTATGTTGGTGGTGTACATGAATGGTATACAGTACCTACAACAATGAAAATTAGAGACACATGCAACATCAGGGTAGGTTTACTGTAGATGTCTCACCATCCAGTGGCTTTATCAATACAACTTTAAGGACATAACTGGAAGACAGAAGAAGTATATACAAAAGATGAGGTGATCAATACCTCAGCCTTGTAGTTGGTGTGAGGAGCATCGTGGTGGTGAAGATTCATCATCACTACGATGCTCCTCACACCAACTACAAGGCTGGGAGACTTGATTACTTCATCTTTTGTATACAGCTCTTCTGTCTTCCAGTTATGTCCTTGAATTTGTATTTCAAAGCCACTGGATGGTGAGACGTCTACAGTAAACCTACCCAGATGTTGCACGTGTCTCTAATTTTCATTGTTGTAGTTTGTTATATCATGATGTCTTTGTTTTCATGCTGACTCTGCAGGGACTTATCTACAGCATACGGGTATATCATCTTCTCTTACGCTTGCTATCTTTTCATGTTCATAATAATTTTCTTGTTGAACTCTAATTCTTTTTTTGTCAGACATTTATGAGGAAAACTCTAGCAAATCAAATAGAAAAACTATTGTTTCTGTTAAAAACTTTGGTAATTTTGTCAAATTAGTGAATTTTTTTTTTTTCAGCACAGTAATTTGATATAGTGATTAATGTTTTATTTGTATGTGTGTGTGTGTGTTCAGGAGTTTGATTTGGTAATTAACCTGCCGATGCGTGGTGGTGGTGCACGACGTGTGTCGTCGTTCATGACGCAAGGTTACCGCACACGTCGCATGGCCGTTGACTTCTCCGTCCCTCTCGTCACAGACGTCAAGTGTGCCAAGCTACTAGTTGAGGTACGTCACTCATGTTCTGTCGTCTTATATCTCTCCCACACCCACCCTTCCTTCCTCCCACACCCACCCTTCCTTCCTCCCACACCCACCCTTCCTTCCTCCCACACCCACCCTTCCTTCCTCCCACACCCACCCTTCCTTCCTCCCACACCCACCCTTCCTTCCTCCCACACCCACCCTTCCCTCCCACACCCACCCTTCCTTCTCCCACACCCACCCTTCCTTCCTCCCACACCCACCCTTCCTTCTTCCCACACCCACCCTTCCTTCCTCCCACACCCACCCTTCCTTCCTCCCACACCCACCCTTCCTTCCTCCCACACCCACCCTTCCTTTCTCCCACACCCACCCTTCCTTCCTCCCACACCCACCCTTCCTTCCTCCCACACCCACCCTTCCTTCCTCCCACACCCACCCTTCCTTCCTCCACACCCACCCATCCTTCCTCCCACACCCACCCTTCCTTCCTCCACACCCACCCTTCCTTCCTCCCACACCCACCCTTCCTTCCTCCCACACCCACCCTTCCTTCCTCCCACACCCACCCTTCCTCCACACCCACCCTTCCTTCCTCCCCACACCCACCCTTCTTCCTCCACACCCACCCTTCCTTCCTCCCACACCCCACCCTTCCTCCCACACCCACCCTTCCTTTCCCCCCACCCAACCCCTTTCCCTTTCCCCCCACACCCCACCATTTCCTTTTCCCCCCACCCACCCTTTTTCCCACACCCCCCCTTCCTTCCTCCCACACCCACCCTTTCCCCCCCTCCCAAACCCCCCCCCCCCCACAAACCCAAACCCTTTTCCCCCCCCACACCCACCCTTCATTCCCCCCCACACCCACCCTTTTCCCCCACACCCACCCTTCCTCCCACACCCACCCTTCCCTTTTCCCACACCCCCTTTCCCTCCCCCCACAAACCCCCCCTTCCTTTTCCCCCACCCACCCTTCCCCCCTTCCCCCCACCCACCCTTCCCCCCCCCCACAACCCCCCCCCTTTCCCTTTCCCCAAACCCCCCTTCCCCCCCCCCCCACACCCACCTTTTCCTTTAAAACCCACCCCCCCCTCCTCCCACACCCCCTTCCCTCTTCCGACACCCACCCTTCCATCCTCCCACACCCAAACCCCTTCCCCCCCCCACACCCACCCTTTTTCCCCCTCCCCAAAACCCACCCTTTCCCCTCCCCACACCCACCCTTCCCCCCCCACACCCCCCGTTTCCCCTTCCCCCCCCCAAAACCCACCCTTCCCTTCCTCCCACAACCACCCTTCCCTCCTCCCCCCCAAACCCCCCCCTTTTTCCCCCCCCCCACCCCCCCTTCCCTCCTCCCACACCCCACCCTTCCCCCCCCCCACACCCACCCTTTCCATCCCACACAAACCCCCCCTTCCATCCTACCACACCCACCCTTCCCCCCTTTCCCCCACCCAAACCCCTTTCCCTCCTACCCCCACCCACCCTTCCCCCTCCCACAAACCCCCCCCCCTTCCCCCTACCACAACCACCCTCCCCCCCCTTCCCCCCCCCCCCCAAAATCCCCCCCCTTCCCCGTCCTCCCACCCCCCCACCCCTTTCCTCCCCCACAAACCCCAAAAAACCCCTTTCCTTCCCCCACCCACCCTTTTCCCCCCCCCTTCCCCCCCCCTTCCCCCCCCACCCTTCCCCCCTCCGAAAACCACCCCCTTTCCCCCTCCCACAAACCCACTTTTTTCCCCCCTCCCACACCCCCCCTTTCCCCCCTCCCACACCCACCCCTTTCCCCCCACACCCACCCTTTTTTTCCCCCCCCCCACACCCACCCTTTTCCCCCCTCCCACACCCCCCCTTTTTTCCCTTTCCCCCCACACCAAAACCCTTTTCCCCCCCCCACCCTTTCCCCCCCCCACACCCACCCTTCCCCCTCCCACACCCCCCCCTTCCCTTTCCCCCCACACCCACCCTTCCCCCCTCCCCCACCCAACCCCTTTCCCCCCCCCCCACACCCAACCCCCCTTTCCCCCCCCCCACACCCACCCTTCCCCTCCTCCCACACCCCCCCTTCCCCCCCCACCCCCACCCTTCCCTCCCCACCACAAACCCCCCCTTCCCCCCTCACACCCACCCTTTCCTTTCCCCCTCAACCCATCCTTTCCCCCCCACACCCCCTTCCTCCTCCCACACCTCCCTTTCCCCCTTTCCCCCCCAGCCACCCCTTTCCCTTTCCCCAAAAACCCCCCCTTCCCTCCCCCCACACCCACCTTTTCCTTCCCCCCCCCCTCCACCCAAACCCCCCCTCCCCCAAACCCCCCCTTCCCCCCTCCCCCAACCCACCCATTTCCCCCCTCCCACCCCACCCTTCCCTCCTCTCCCACACCCCCACCCTTCCCCCCTCCCAACCCCCCTCCCCTTCCATCCTACCACACCCCCCCTTTCCCCCCTACCCCCAAACCCCCCCTTTCCCCCCTCCCCCACCCACCCTTTTCCCTCCCCCCACACCCACCCTTTCCCTCCTCCCACACCCTTTCCCTTTTCCCCCCTCCCACACCCACCCCCTCCCTCCCCCCCCCCCCCACCCCTTTCCCCCCCCCACAAACCCCCCCTTTCCCCCCACCCCACCCACCCCCCCTCCTCCCACCTCACCCGTCCCCCCTCCCACACCCACCCTTTTCCCCCCTCCCACACCCACCCTTCCCGCCTCCCCCCACCCCCCCATCCCTCCTCCCACACCCACCCTTTCCCCTTTCCCCCCACACCCACCCCCTTTCCCCTCCCCCCCACCCCCCCCTTTCCCTCCTCCCACACCCACCCCCTTTCCCCCCTCTCACACCCACCCCCCCTCCTCTCAACACCCACCCTTTCCTCCTTTCCCCCACTCCCCTTTCCCCCGTCCCACACTTACCCTTCCCCCCCTCCCACACCCTCCCGTTCCCTCCTACCACACCCACCCTTCCCTCCTACCACCCCACCCTTCCCTCCTCCCCCACCCCCCCCCTTCCCTCCTCCCCCCACCCGTCCTTCTCTCCCCACCACACTCCCCCTTCCCTTTCCCCCCCAACCCCCCCCTTCCCTCCTCCCCCACCCCCCCCCCTTTTCCCCCCCCACACCCACCCTTTTCCCCCCTAAACCCCACCCACCCTTCCCTCCAAAAACCCCCCCCTTCCCTCCTACCACACCCAAACCCTTTTTTCTCACAAAACCCCCCCCCCCCACCAAACCCCCCCTTCCCCCCCCCACACTCACCCCTTTCCCCCCTCCCACACTCACCCCCCTTTTTCCCCCCAAAACCCCACCCTTTCCCTCCTCCCACACTAAACCCCCCCCCCCCACACCCACCCCCTTTCCCCCCTCCCCACAACCCCCCCCTTCCTCCTCCCCCACCCACCCTTGCCTCCTCCCCACCCCCCCTTGCCCCTCCCACAAACCCCCCCTTCCCCCCTACCACACCCACCCCCCCCCCCCCCCCCCCCTTTTCCCTCCCCCCACCCCCCCCCCCAACCCTTCCCTTCTAAACCCCACCCAACCCTTCCCCACCACCCACACCCCCCCCCCCCCCCTACAACCAAACCCCCCCCCTTCCCCTCCTCCCACACCCAAACCCCTTTCCCCCCCTCCCACACCCCCCCTTCCCCCCCCAAAACCCCAAACCCCCCCTTCCCCCCTCCCACACCCACCCTTTCCCCCCCCCACACCCACCCTTTCCCTTTCCCCACCCACCGTTCCCTTCCCCCACAAACCCCCCCTTCCCTTCACCCACAACCCCCTTTCCCCCCTCCCCACCCCACTTTTCCCTCCCCCCACACCCACCCCCCCCTCCTCCCACACCACCTTTTTTCCCCCACCCTCAACAACCCCTCCCTCCTTTCCCCCACCCCTTTTCCTCTTCCCCCCACCCCCCCCCTTCCCCCCTCCCCCACCCCCCCCCTTTTCCCTTTCCCCCCAAAACCCAACCCCCCCTCCCCCCACACCCAAACCCCTTTCCCCCCCTCCCACACCCACCCTTCCCTCCCCCCCCACCCACCCTTCCCTCCACCACACCCCAAACCCTTTCCCCCCTCCCCCACCCACCCTTCCCCCCTTCCACACCCCCCCCCTCCTCCCCTACCCTCCCTTCCCTCCTTCCACACCCAACCCCCCTTTCCCCCCTACCACTCTCACCCTTCCCTCCTCCCCAAACCCCCCCTTTCCCCCCCTCCCCCAAACCCAAACCCTTTTCCCCCCCCCACAACCCACCCTTCCACACCCCCCCTTCCCCCCCCCACAAACCCCCCTTCCCCCCTCCCCCCACCCACCCTTCCCCCCTCCCACACCCACCCCTTACCCCCCTCCCCACACCCACCCTTTTTCCCCCCCCCCACACCAGCCCTTCCCTCGCCCCCACCCAACCCTTTCACTTCCCCCACACCCAACCCCTTTCCCCCCTCCCCCCAAAACCCCCCCTTTCCCCCCTAAACCCCACCCCCCCCCTTCCCTTCAACGCCCATCCTTCCCCTCCCCCCACCCACCCCTTTCCCCTCCTCCCCCACCCTCCCCTTTCCCTCCCCCCCAGCCACCCTTCCTTCCACCCCCCCCCCTTCCCCCCCCCCACACCCCCCTTTCCTTTCCCCCCCCCCATCCCCCCTTTCCCCCCCCCAACCCACCCTTTTCCCCCTCCCACACCCACCCTTCCCCCCCCCCCAAACCCCCCCTTTCCCTCCCCCACCCCACCCTTCCCTCCTCCCACCCCCATTTCCTTCCCCTCCCACACCTACCCTTCCCCCTCCCACACCTACCCCTTCCCCCCTCCCCCACCTACCCTTCCCTCCTCCCACAACCCCCCCTTCCCTCCTCCCCACCGACCCTTCCCCCCTCCCACAAACCCCCCCTTTCCCCCCTCCCACACCCCCCCTTTCCCTCCTCCCACACCCCCCCTTCCCCCTCTCACAACCCCCCCCTTCCCTACCCCCAAAACCCCCCCCTTTCCCTCCTAACCCACACCCACCCTTCCCCCCCTAACCCCAAACCCAACCCTTTTCCCT